GAGTTTAAAAAACCCTCTATTACTTTCCACATTATTTGCCCTCAAACTTTATTCAATAGGATTGATATTATGTATTTCAAAATTGTTTAATTAAAAATATGTGGAATACAACACATAAAATTTAAATCGTTAGAAATTATCTAGTCATAAGAGGAGTGAACATGAAAAAATTCGGCAATAAACATGCTGTACAATTACTGAATAAAAGCTTTATGTACAATTAAACCTTTTCTGTTCAAATTTTCACATAGAATTAAAATAATTAAAAATTTAAATCACTGCTACAAAAAACGACATAAAGGTCAAAGGAAGTAACTGTAATAGCTGCAGGAATCAATATATTTCTAGGGCTTCTTTAGAGAGAAAAAACGTAGTAATCAATGTAATGTAATGCATGTACAATATGCTGCACATCTATGTATGTTCATTAAATGTACAACAATATTTTTTACATTGTTTTCCAATGTTTCGAACAAATTTAAAATTTCACAATTGTTTTGTGACCTTTCCTTCGTGTGTCGTGTAAAATTAAAGTAGTATACTGTTATAATAAAAACAAAACAGTAGAATAACATGAAGCAAATCTTATTGAATTGCTAAAAATTATAGTAAATTTCTATGTTTGATTTCTTCTTTTTTTTTTTTTTTTTGTTCATTTTCTTTTTCTAAATCAAAGTTCAAGTACTACACTATGATTTCTTCGATAATACCAATTGCAAACAATAAGGAAAAACAGAAATTGTATGTATTTTTTGTAGTTCTGTACATATTCCATCTGTACGTTTTACCAACATATAGAAATATAGACAAATGCATGTATGTGGCATGTAAGTAGTACAGTACATGAATTCTCATGCATACAGTCAACCAACCATCCATCCATCGAACCATCTTAAGAAACATTGGAGTATAAATGTTCGTCAAAGGAGCTTGCGCATACTCTTATAATTCCTCATACATTTTATACACCAAGAGACATGCCAACCAAATGCTTGGATACATAGAAAGATAATAATACATGGATGGATGTGTGAATGAATGGTAGTGGATGGACGGGCAGAATATTGAAAGAAGAGAATAAGTTACTTACTACATATACACTGATGCCAGCAGCCACCACATGCATTGGTGCTATAGAAACAGATTCACAACACAACAAAATTGTGTCCTCTTCGTTTTCTTTCGCATTAAAGAAGATTTTATAAGCCAAAGGCTAAAATAAATACCTTAAAACATTGGCAAAAAGTTTATTTTTAGACAAAAATAAAATAAAAATTGACAACAACAGCAAAAAAAAAATAAAACTAAAATGGAAAAAAAGTGTAGATGTCTGCAACATAAGAAAGAATTCCAAACAAGAATACAGTCCTCTTTAACAGTAAGTTGTTGCAAAAAGTTTTCAAACAAATTTAAACCTACTATATTCGTTACTTTGATCAGTCGTAAGTACGTTCGTGTGTTCGCTTTTTATTATTCTTTTTTATATTTTCTACAATTTATATAAACAAGCGAATACGAGTGAGTATAAATACAGATAGACAACAGAAAAAATAGCAACAACGACGACTACGATGATAATAATAATGTCGAAAGAGTTGAAAGGCGTAAATCTTAATCCCTGAGAATTCATGATTTTCTGACATTCATCCTAAAGGAAATTATAAAAAAAACTGAAAACGAAACTAAAAAAGTGGCAGAATAAAAAGAAGTCAACGATCATGATGATGTTGCTGCGCATGAGTGGTGTCTCATAAAATATAAAAAATATATTGTACATTCATTCAAACATATGTTTGTAACTATTTAATACACATACACACATGATAATGGGGTAAATATGTATGTATATAGTATAATCCTGATTATACTCACTGTCGTACCCGTACAGTAACTAGTGAAATTTGGCAAACATTTTATACAATATTTTTTCGCGAAATTAATGAAAAAATATACAATTGTATTATGAATGTAGGTATATGTTTGTCTATAATTTAATTCCAAATGAAAGCAAAGAAACTAACTTTGTTGAAAAGAACTTATTTAAATTAAAGTTGTATTTATAAATACATTTTTAATTTAACATTTGAAGAAATAAAGGTTAATCGAAATTCGAATGTAGTAAACAGAGAAACATTACACCTGCCCTTGATTAAATGAAAATTTTTCCAAAATCTAATTTAATTAAACCAATTGGGTATTAAGATCTTGCATAGATTAGAAATTCGAAAATGACTTGAGACAGATTTGAGACTTGGACTGAATTCTTTTAACAATAAATGATGATTAATTTTGATCAGTATTGCACGCACTTGTATATGGTTCAACATACAACAATAATTTTAAAACTAGAAGTTCTTGAAAACCCCTATTTAAACGATTTTACTTTTGCAAAAGTTAAAAGTGTAAAAAAAGGGGGGAACTTGAATTAAACTGTGTTTTTTAAAAATAAGAAATCCTGTTAAATTACACGCAGCAGCTCTAGAACATTATACATATATAGATCACCAATATCTGTCGATATGTGGTGAAAATTTTTATAGAAAGTATCCGTCATTTTTGGCAATTCTGAATTACACCGAAATGACTATTCATATTTACTGGAGAACTTCAGATATACAGACTTTTTATATAAAAACTAAACCCTTAAAAAAAGTATTTTATGGTCAGATCTAATGATTATATACATATGTATGAATGTATACATATGTCTGAGTGCAATAGTATTTACATACATACTTATATACATATTTATTTTCATTTAATGTTGTTGTATTTTTGTATTTTCCTTTTGTTCTGCGTCATAAATGTGCAGAGTGAATTTTTATGTCTTATCCATGGTCATGGGTTATAAAATGCTGAAGACATATAAAAGCGTGCCTAAAAGGGTTTGTTAAAATTCAACGAAATGGACATGGACTAGCATAAACTCTCTTACAGATACAAACACATACAATCACTGACACTTAATTTGTGTTTGTCTAAATATTGACAATATACACTGATGTATGGAATCATAGGCTTCTTCGTTAACAAATATCAGAGTTAAATAATTTTTATTATGATCTTCGATTTTATATGATTAATTCTTTATGCACAAAACTAATAAAATCCTTAAAATCTTTATAAATATATATTGTTCAAAATTTTCGTTTTTTTCGCTTTTGGTTTTTAGACAATATTACTTTATTGAGGCTTATATTTTATGATATAAGAAATACCCCGAAACATTCTCCTGAAAATACTAAGAATACGATTATTTTCGCATTTGTGATGATTTTTGAATTAAGAAAAAAATCTAACAGTCAAAAACATTACTAACTCACAGCACAACAAATACTTAGCCGTTGTGGTTAAATGTGATATTATTTTTGAAATTAAATACTCTAACTTTGTTGTATGTCCATTTGTTATTTTCTGGCTGGTAATTTTTGCAAGAATGTATGAAATTGATAAGTGGCGATAAGTATTGTAGTAACGTAACGCAAATCAACTTAAACTTTACGTAATGTTGTGTTCATATACTTAGAGCCCTTGGAGTTGTGTGTTTAGAATAATTCACATTATATTTAAGGATCAGCCATCAGTTAGTTGTGAGTGACTTTGCTGTGTTTTAGGAGTTTCAGGTAAGTTGTTCGTTCGTTACTTCCACTTTAGTGTATGGTTTTTCATTATTATTCATTTTTAGTTTACAATGATGACAATGATGGCACGGCTAAAATATAAATACCACCACACAGATAATGATAAACAACAACGAGCAGTCAGTCAGCCAGCCAGCAAACTAACTAACCAACCATCCATCGAAGCAACAACAACAGTAAATGCAAAAGAACCGGGCAAACTAAGAAACAAGTTTGTGGTTTAAAGGAAACTAAATACAAAGAATAACGATAAAAGAAATATTAATGTGTGTATGTTTGTTTGGTAGAAAGGAAAAGGCTAAATCATCTATCATAATGAATTTCTGTATTGGAATTTCTTTATCAGAAGAATAAGACAGACGAGGTTGTTGCTTACCTGCAGTTTGCCGGCAGCAGAAAATTTGTTGTTAATCTGTCACCAAATTTTAAAAGTCTCTTTCGGTATCAAAACAAATGCAAGATAATTCCTTACAAAATCTCAAATAATCAATCAAATTTTTTGTAAACTCCTAAAAAATCATATCTATTTATAAAAATACTAGTTGGAGTTTTGTCGGTTAAGTTTCAAGCAATTACAACGGTTTGTAATGATTGCAGCCGTAAGTCAGTGATCAATAAACTGTTTTTACCTGCTTTTTGTTTTGTACATATTTCATGTTTTATAAATAGAGAATTCAATTACTCCAGAGAAAATGAAGAAGACCAATAAAAACCATATACCACCAATTGGTTACAATATTTTGCTTCAACCATGGACAAAGACCCCTGTATAAATGTGATTAAGGCTATTAAAGAATTTTCACATACTCTTGTCATCAGTTCTTTTTATTTTTTCTTCATTATTTTTTTGTGTTTAAGTAATCACGCCAAGAACCTTTACCCATACAATAGCAACAACAAAATTCTATTAATATACGATGAGTATGTACAATTGTATGTATAAATTTTGATTGGTATGGGTGCCAATGGTTGCCTTATAGAGTGTCAGACCATGAGACAGACAGACAAATGGACAGATAGACCATCATCACCATTATGATCGTCATTATGATCATCGTTACTATTGAATTTTATTTGTGTAGATACAATATGTATGAAGAAAAAGAGTTCTTATAGTTTTGTTGGTTGGTTGGATTGTTTGGTTATTCAGTTAATACTTTTCATTCTTTGTTGCTTTTGTTGTTGTTGTTGTTTAGCATTTATGTAAAAAAAGTATGTTTGTGTGTATGTGAGAAGGTATTCGTATATAACAATACTTAAGACGTTCTTAGCTATATTCTGTGTTTATTTTTTGTTTTTCTTGTTGGCTTATTTATTTACTTTCCTACGGATGTCTGTTTAAAATTCCTTTTAAGCTTACAACGTATCCCAATTTCAGGCATTCGCGATCGAGAATTTGAATCGGAAACAACAAGTCGCGCTTAAAGAACAACAATAATAACAATATACACCTATAGACATAGCCAGATTGTACAAACACAATCACACGTACAAATACATACAAAAATAACATTAACCCACACAATTAAACAAAACGTAGTGTATAGTTTAGACCAGGCCTAAACACTGGATGTGTGAGTGAGCTAGTAGTGAGTGCGTTAGTTGGTTTTAAGTGAAGGTGCTCGTACAAGAAAAAAAAGAATATTACCTTTTCATAAAAAGTACAAGAAAAAACAACAGAACCGATTAGAACCTGAGAACCTTTGGCCATCAGCAAAGCTTGGTATTTTAACGTTAACCTTCGAAGAGTTTAGTTTAAATCTAGACTAGCATTGCTAAACACGAATATCGGATACCTAAAATATCGAACATCGGATAAGAATATTTTCCATTTAAATAAAAGTAAAAATATTTTGTGTAGTGTCTTCCTGCGAACAAATAGAGGAAACAAAATGAATAAAGTTCTTATTTGTCTTATCAGTTTAGTGGTCCTTTCCACAGGTAAGTGTTAAATAAAAATAAATTAAAATATAAATTATTAAAAATTAAAACAAAATAAGTTTTCAAAAATTTTGTGTGTAAAAAATTTAACGTTTTTTTTTATAAATTGAAATAGATTAAGATGTGTAAAAAAATTTACAAAAAAACTTGAAAGAAATTGTGGTTTGCAAAAATTAATTATAGATTGCAAAATTCTAACGAATTTTATAGAATATATTTTACAATTCTTTTGACAAATAATTTTAAAATTTAATTACATTTTATTATTAAGTATTTCCTCAAAGGCGCGCTCTCTACAAAATAAATTTTGTAATTTTCGTTTTATTTATTCAAATAAAAAAAATTACATAAATCATAATTTATTTATAATTCAATTTGATTATTTTAAAACGGTATAAAATTATTTTTATGGAATTTGTTCTAAAATCAAAACATATTCTTAAAAATTTCAACTTATAATTCCATATTTGAGAAAACTAAAATAGTCAATGCAGTTTTTGTCAAGTCTAGAGTGTGAAGTGAATTTTAATTACAGGAAGTGAGTGATTTCAAGCACAACACCTAACGTAAAAGAAATAAAAAACAAACAAAATTTTCCAATTTTTTATACACAGAAAAAAGAAAGCCAAAGAATAAAACATTTACTTAAAACGGTTTTAATATATTAATGAGTTATGCAAACGGGCCATAAAATCTAATTTAGAATTATAATTTTTTTGTTTTCCAAATTTGGGGTTAACAAGTTAACGACCTTTTCAAAAATGAATTATATGATTTTCATCATTTATTTTCTTTTGCTATATTAGGACAACGCATAACTACCATACATCTGGATGGTGTACAGTATTTCATCAGTCGTATGAATCCTTATTCCCCCGAATTAAATTACTTTTTGGCTTATCAATACTGTCGTTCATTGGGCTTGCAGTTGGCATCATTTGAAACTAAAGAAAAGGCTGAATCTATGACAACATATTTGAAAAATGCTGGCTATGGCAATTATGATTTCTGGACTTCTGGTAATCGTCTAGGAACTGGCATGTTCTTATGGATGAGCACAGGTTTACCATTCAATGCCACATTTGACTTTTTCGAAAATACGGCTGATGCCATACAAGCTGGTCTTCTCGATCCTGTTGATCACAACAGTAATACATCACCTCAAAGAACCGCCAGAGACAGGTAAATAATACTTATTATTAGTGTATTTAATAATTAGTAAAACATTCTTCTCTCTCTAAATATTTGGTATTTTTTACAATATTGTGAAAAACTATTACCAAACATATACAAATATAATCCTACAAGTTAATTCCTTTTTTATAACTTTTAACTCAATTCGATTAATTAAGTTCTTTTACTTTCAACAGCAGCAGCGGGGCCGAAAAAGGTTGCGTCATTTTGAAACAGCCCACATTGAAATGGATGCCAGAAGACTGTTCTGCGGTGAAAGATTTTATTTGTGAACAAACTCGTTGTTACTACTACAATTATGGTAGTATTCCAGTCTCTTCAGCGCAGGGGTAAGAAGAGCCACCCCTTCATAAAAGATTAAGGGGTTTCTTTTTAATAAATTGTGAAAATAAAAAAAATCTGAAACCTACACACATAAATTTTAGCCTGTAAATGTTACTTTAAGAATTTTAATAAAACGAATCTCTCAATTGGATACAAACAAACAAAATAAAAATAAATCACACATACATATATAAATCTTAAAATCAAACACAATTACAACAAGAATGATCAACTAAAGCTGATTCAAACAATAAATAATTGAAATTTAAACTTATTTTAGGTGAGCTAAACCCCAAGACGTAATTAAAATAATTATATTATACATAAATGCCTAGTAGATTAACAGTTTTGCTGCTTGATTAACAAAAAAAAAACTAATTCACTGACAAACTAACTAACCGCCTGACATATCCTGCATTTGACTGATTAACAAGAAAACATTGCTGTTGCTTTTAACATATGTATACCCGCCAACCGTTATAAACTACTTTTATTCTCACTATCTCGCTATTGTATTACATTTATTTCGCTTAATTTGCTAGAAAGCCCCTTATCTTTCTTGCACTTAAACACAACTAACAAATTTATTCTTCATTCACGTTAAGAAAAAAAACATAAAAATATAGTTAAGTAGTAAATAACAACAATTATACTTCTAATAACACAGTGGTGAACTGGGGCTTAGCTTTCCTAAAGTAGTTTAATGTTTATACGTTACATGTATACATACTTTTAGACTATTCTGATTTCGTTCCATTATCGAAATACTAACAAATTTCTCCTTTTTCACAACTCTTTTTTTATATTGTTAAAATCCAGACGCCCTATTACCACTACTACACCACGCAGCGTTAATGCCGATGTTAGTAAGTCGGAATTGAAAACCACCACACCATTGCCACTGTTAATGTCCTCTTATGCAACAGCCAAAAAATCAAATCAACCCTCATATGTTTCACTGAAGCTTGACCAGGAACGTGCCTTGGTATCCAGCAAATCCGACGACACTCACAATAACGTGCAGGACAATGAAGAGGAACACGAGGACGATGAATCGAACAACAGCCAAGGGGAAGAAGTTCAAGGACGTGACTTAACAAATGAAGAATTCGATCACGATGTCGAGGTTAGCCAACAAGAAAACTCCGAAGAAGTACATGACGACCACGACGATGTCCATGAACAGGATGAAAATAAATCAAGCGACCAACAAAATGATGATGATGTTAGTAAAATCAATAGTTCACATTCCCAAGAACAGGAAGAAGAATCTGAAGAATTAGTGGCTAAAGAAAAATCATTGGAAAGTTATGAAATTGAAAATACCCCTGAAATGCCTGCCGTTGAAGTTAGATTAAAGGAGATTTCACAGGAAGTTGAAAAAAGAAACAACGAAGAAAATAGACACATTCCCTCTTTAACACCCGATCTCGATGATATTGGACGTCAATCATTTTTATCGCTAACTGATCTTATACGTACATTGCATCCCAATGACAAACAAATTATACCACAAATTGATTCCGATTATTCGAATGCAATGCGTGTGTTGGGTGAAAAATCCGTGGTGGTCAATACAAATGAGGAATAATTTATTATAAGCATAAAGTATAACGACTATTCTTTTTCCCATAAATATTCTCAAAAGAGACATCTCAACAAATAATTCACATAACCTTATCGACCAAACGACCGTCCGACTCAAATTTTATACTAACGTACATTAAATTTTTAACATGATTTAATCAATTCAAGTTCTATTGCAAACTGTTTCGCTTGAACATTTCTGGTTCTTTAATGGACTTTTTTTGTATTTTGTATGAATAAAAAAAAACTGTTTTACCAATACAAGTCAAGTTCATTGAAAAACACTTTACTTTAGAACTTGTCGTCTATCTATATGTAACTGCTGGGGTATTTTCTCAAGTTGACATTTAAAAAAGTTTAATTTTAGTTTGCTAAGTATTTTTAAGTGTAATAAATATCATTGCTAAACAATCGTCATAAGCGATTACTAATTGTATAATTTGATATTTATAATTGTCGAATAAATATGTTTTTATACAAAAACTATAAAATAATAATAATTTGGGACAATAAACAAAATTAATAAATTCTAGTGGAATAATTAAATATTGTTTATCTTATTATTTGCAAGGCATTGAAAAATTGTAAGTTTACAATGCTTGATTTACCAACCATTAAAAAAGAGAACTGTTACAATAGAACTTTGTAACGATTTAAGTTATAATGACTTTAACACAAATAAATAAGTATATTGCAGAGTGTGAAAATTTCTTAGAGAAAAAAAAACTTTACCAATTTGCCTTAGCTTTCTGTAGAATTCAAGAGAAAGATGCAATTTATAATGAAGGCATATTCGTCAAGTAAAAAGGGTGTTTAATTGTATTTTAAATTTAAAAAAAGGAATTAAAGAAATTTTCTTCAATCATATTTAAATAAACATTTAAGATAATGCATTTTTATTGAGAATAAAAATGAAGCCAGTTATTGGTATGAAATGAGAATGAAAAAAAAAAAATATTAACTTAAAAAAAATAAGATTGAAAGAATTGGGAAATGCTGCTGAAAATTATGTATGTAGAAAGTGATTTGAGATGAGCTTATAACAAAAAAATAAAAATAACGACGGGATAGTTTCTGTTTTTTTTTAACGTATTTTAATAAAGTATTATGGAGATAAATTATAATTCAAAATCATCACGTAAATCATTATAGGACATAACATGTTGTTTAATTTTGGAGCCATCTACCCATGTTACGAAGTCTTCAAGGTTACGAGAAACTAAAAAGGCAATGTCTTTTACCATTTCAGTACCTACTCTTACATGGCCACTTTCAACTAAATCTGTGGCGTTTTTAATATTTTCCGAAAGTTTGTCTGAGCGATGAAAAGGGTTTCAACAACGGTTAGGAATTTTAATAAATAGGTGTGAATAATAAAAATAATAAAACAGTACTCACTTTTAACCATAACAACAGGTAAACGACGACGACAAAAACAGCTGGCCGATACTTTACTGGCGGTTTCCAAATCTGTTTTATCGTTTATAAGACCCATGCCGAACAATTTCTCCAATAACATGTACGAAGCCTCGGACTTGAAAGGGTCCGTTTTGTCTAATTTTGCTATTTTTTCCACTAACTCTCGTATCTGACGCGATAATTTGTTGTATCTAGTAAAAAAAAAAAATAAATGTAATGGCGTCCTTACACATGTGCTGGCTTTGTCAGAAATTTTAAATTGCGATTTTACTTACTTTGTGTAATCATCCCTTTTGCGTATGTGATATCTTCGCAGGATTTTATTTTCTTGGCCACCATTATCCACTTTCCATGTTATAAAATCAACTTTTTTCAAAAGTTTTTGTTCATGAAATTTTAACTTTCTCACCATGTTTTTTTATTTACAAATAATTAAAACCAACTCTGGTGTTGCCGCTCTTCTAGAAGTTTTTTTTTATAAAGAGCTGCCAGATTGTTGATACAGGAACCAAAGTCGTTAGAAAAGTTGAAGGTTCGACGTTTTATAAACAAACATAGAATATCTTAAATTAAAAAAAAGTAAACTTAGACCTATTAAGGACATACACGTTTCCATTTAAAGGGACAGGTCCTTAACAGAATTTATACAACTTCTGCAAGTTTTACCAACTTGTTGAGTCTTTGCAAGTCATATGGGAAATTTACTTTGGCTGTTGCTCTGACATTTTAATCACAGCGCTGCCACTGCTTTCTGTTACCAGATCGATATTTTTTGTTTTTACACTGAACAAAATTAACAAGAACAAGAACTAATTAACCATTAAAATTTAAAATAAACAAACGTTTTGAAACATTTAGTTTTCAAAATAAGTTTAGATTTTCAAAAAATTTTTATAACAAAATGCATTCATCAACTTAATACTTAAATTGAATTCTTGATCGGCTTTTTTGGTTAAAGAAGAAAATGTTTATAATTTGTTTTTATTTGAAATACAAAATTCTTTTTTTTTTATTATTAATAATAAAGTACATAATGTGTGTGTGTGTGTATGTGTGGAATTTCTTAACTTTCTTCTCATTTAATGTATTTGTGTTTGAAACAAAGTAAATAATAAATAAAAATAATAATTATTATAATTCAACGAATAATTATAAATGACTGACACAAATAAACAACTAAATGGGAATAGAAAAAGGAAGGAGTATAGAAAATATTTTTGTTTATTATATTGTTATTTTGTGTTATATAAATGTTGTTTTATTATTATTTTATTTTAGTATAAAAAAAGAGCAAGCAAGATTCTTGAGAAACAAAAATCAGACTAAGAACGTATTAAAAAAACTAAAGAATTAGTTAATAATAAAAAATATGTTGTTTTGTTATATCTTCTTTTCGATTTTAGTTATTATTTTTGTTTTTGTTTAATGATTTAATAAGTAATACATATTTTGTATATATATAATATATTTTTTTTATTTTATTTATTTTATATGCATTTTCAGCATAAATTAATAATTAATAGAGTATAATTAAATAGTATTGATTTGACTTTCGTTTTGGATTATTTCAATAATTCTTCTTTTTGCTAAACTATATTGTTTTTCTTATTCATTTTCCTTTTTTTTTTTTTGTTTGTTTTAATTTTATTTCAGTTAAATTTTATGCAATATATAGTACATAATAACGACTTTAGTTGTCTTTCCTAATTTGTTTTTGTGGTTTTAGTTATTCATGTTATATACCAAGTTATATATCGTAATAATTTCAGTTCTTATATCAGGTTTAAGGGAATAGAGTTATTTAAAGAAGGTGAGAGTGTGAGAAAGTAGTTGGGAAGTTGAGTAAAATTAGGGGACCGGTCACAGGGGATGAGTGAGTAACTTTTTAAATTGGTTATAATATTAAATATTATTAACATAAAAAGGATAGGGAAATACATAATCATACTTAAAGAGGTTTAGGGGTGGTGTGGTGTATTTGTAATGGTTGCAGTATTTTTCTTTTATATTTTTTAGTAGACACATCCTTTCACTAATTAAGCATTCAAAGTAGTAGTTGTAGTATGTAGTTGACTTCTTAAGCGATTTTAAGGCTACACCTCATTTATCTATTTTTTTTTCTTTTTGTAAATTTAATTTCCTCGGCTAAATTCTGGTAAGACTCATTGTGTGAATTGTGATTAGATGATGATTAGATAACTAGAGCCATGTCTTTTTTACTGGGCAAATTGACCTTTTTGCCCTGCCATAGTGAATTATGTATTGTGAAAGCATCAATGGTAACAGTCAAATGCTTTGTATGGACTTGAGAAAAACATTTTCCTCCTGAATTATACCTTAAAAAAAACAATAAAATTTCCCATTTATAGTTTGTTTTTCAAAATTGCTATATGTTTAAAACTTACTTGAAAAATTTATCAAACATGACTTCATCAACTTGCATAGGTCCAGTACCATACAATTTAACAACCTGCTCCGTGTCAGGAGTGTAACTGTATAGTGCTCGAAATTGGCAGCCTGCATCTCTGAATAGTATGAGGAAATGTTTAGCTTCGGAACGTGCAATTTTCTCAAGTACTTTTTGCTTTGCATCACGATTAACAGCGCCTGGGAAGACGCAGTATTCGACTGCATTGAGTATAATTCCTCTATTCGATTTAGCTGCTGGCTGCTTATATAATTTTGGCCCTAAATTACAATAACGTAATATTTTAATAAAATTTTTGTCTTAATATTGGTTAACATCAACATTTGATAAGTCCGGTAAAAAGTTTATTGTTTATTGCTAATTGCTACTTGTCATACATAGGATTCAGTGTAAATTGCAAGCAGAAATACTCATTCAATACTAAATATGCTCAATTTTTACCAGATTTATCAAATAATTGTAACAAATTTTAAATGTGAAAAAATAAAAAAAGGAAAAGTAAATGCATTCTTTGAGAACAAATCAACATTAATTTTGTTCAAACAACATGACAATAATAGTAATAAAAATAACTATAATAAACACAACAAAACATAATACAACAAATAAATACAAAACAAACATCATTTCAATTTAAATATTAATATAATAATGTTAATAAATAATAAAAAATAAGGCAATTGAATGGGGTTACTATGCCGCCTTTAAGTTATTCTAGCTGCTAAACATTCATTATATTTAGGTTTCGTTGTACTAATTAAGATAAATTGTTAATACTAACAACTTAAAATTAAAACCTTTAATAATAAATTGACCGCCCAACTAAATGGTAAACAGTTACTTAAACTAACCTACATACATATTTTTTAGCTTACTTAAACCTTAAAAAAAACTTAAAATAATAATAACTAATTATAATTAAAGAAATAAAACTAAAATAAAATAATTAATGAATTTGAATCGAGTTGAATTGAATTGATTTAAATATGTTTTTAATTTGAATGCAAGTGTTTGTGAATTTATGATTATAATTGCTAAATGAAGAGAGAAGATTAATCTATACGAACCCGAATAATCCATGGAATTGCCAGTCGATGATATATCGCTTGATCCATCGTTTATACCATGTCGTTTTGTTATTAAACCGGGCGGCAAAGAGCCAGGGCCAGATGGAGAGGGCATGTGCCTACTCAACGAGGCCATACCAGGCGATGGTGCTCTACGTGGTGGCGTAGCTCTTCCTATACCAGAATCTATTTTAAGCCAAACATCAATGTTATCATCAAGGCAAGACAATTACAAAACAAACATTTATTTGGATTCGTTAAACAGTTGGTAGATGAGGTGTTTGTTGAATGATGATGTCAAAGGATGATTACAAGTAGTTGTTAAGGAAATCGTTTGATTTCACATTTAATCGAAATATATATTTTAGTTTCAGTTTTTTTTTTTTTTTTTGTATGTTAAATGGATTTTAATTTAGAATAAAAAAAGAAACAATAATGAATGATTAAATTAGTTTAGTTACAGCAAAAGCATAAATTGTATTTTGCGTTGTAATATTTAGATTTTTAATTAATGATGATTTTATAAATAATAAAAAATAATTAATTAAAAACATATAAAAGAAATATATTCTTTAAAAAAAAGGTGCCTGGTTTGAAAGGTAAAATAAAATAAAAAAATAAATTTACAAATGAAAATAAAAGTATACATGTATATGTGTGTAAGCCTTATTAAATTACAAATCTCATTTAAGGGTTTTTCTTCTCATTTAAATATTGACAATATTAAAAACTAAAATAAAAGTTATCTTAATTTTGTTTTAAATTTGTGCAAATTACTCTTGGTTATGAATTGCTGCATGATTTACAATAGCAAACGAATATTAAGTTAATATTTTTCTAAATTTTGTTTGAAAATCATGAGGAATCTGTTGCTCTAATTAAAAGTCTAGTGTTGTTTAAAAACGTAGTTGTTTCAAAATTGTATTGCCTTGATTTTATTGAACTCTGGGTTCAACAATGCGATTCTTCATAATCTACGGTTTAAAATGTTTGGTCGAGTTCTCTATGTCTGCGGCAAACTTAATATAAACTCAATTTATTTCTAAAAAACACTCCTAATTAAAAAGTCTTTATTTTCTCAAACTATTTTAATTTAACTCTGGTATAAAATTTGTATATAAATGTTCATCAAAAGTTAAGAAAATACGAAATTGCCTTGCGCACTATAACTATTTAGTTAATTTTTAAAAATAAGCTGAAAAAGACAAAGCTGGGACACCTTTTTTCCTATTTTAAAGTGTTTATGAGAATTTTATGATCCACCACCTCTATACTAATTTACTGAGCAGATTAAAAAGCCCATGGTCCACATGGTATAGAAATATAAAAATTGTTATAGGCGAAATTGCGTCAAACTGGGAAAAAATTTCAAATGAAATTCTAGTCATGCCAATATCAAATAGTTTTATATTCTTCTTTGGAGAAAATATGAGAAAACTTATGTTTTTTAAGATTTTTTACAATATCAAACGATTGTTGTTTACTCTTCTACATTTCGTAGTATAAAATTTATAAAAAGGCTCCAATATTATCGATCATCAAGTTTTCTCATGAATTTAATAATGATCAATGAATATAGACTAACACACTTAAATAAACTACATATTATTAACTTATTCTAATGCTCGAATGAATGAATGAATGAACGGTTAATGAATATAATGATTAACTAATGTATGAATAATGTGAATTCAAATGAAAAAAATTACGAGAAATTTACAATTAAAAAACATTTTTCTTAAATAACAATAACAAAAAAAAAACCACAACTCCTGGTAAAATAAATAAATGATTAATAAAAATATGAAAAAACAATAAAATTTATTAACCGAAAACCAAATAATTATTCCACAATAAATTACAGAAAGAAAAAAAAATAAATATAATGGTGACTAAAACTCTTACCGCAAAGATTCATAAGCGAATTAGATTTTCGCCCACGAAAGTTTAGAGTACTTCCTTTGGCTACAGATATACGTGATAGAGTTCGACCTCGTTCGACATTTGGTTCTGGAAGAATTCCCACATTTTATGAGGGTATAATATTTGATAATAATCATCTCTATTTTTTATATTATAAATGGGAATTTATCGGAATAAAGCTTATATTCGAAATTAAACAAAAATAATGGAAACAAAACCCAACTCCCTTTTCACTCTTAAATTACATAATTGAAATAAAATATTTTATATATAAATGTAACCATTAACCAACCGTATTTAACCCTAAACATCATTTATATATTTATTATTATTTATGTATATGTTTGTGTATATGTATGCTGTAGTAGTAATTGTAAATTGTAAATGTATGTTGTTTATTAACATACATTTTCATAAAATTAAGGATTCTTAGTAGGAGAGCATGCTAACAAGGCATTATTAATAATACGAGTATTTTAAATTAATAAAAGCAAACATTACATAACATGTGCAAAACAAACCCAGCTTCAGACTGTCACATTTTGCTTTTAGATTATTGCGTTAGAAAACTCAAAAGAAAATTTTCATAATTAAAAGGGATTAGTTTAAGCAAATAAAATTAAAAAAAAAAAACTCAACTAAACTGAAGAAAACAGAACAAAAGTAAGAAATAACTCTAATTGCAAATAAAATATTTGAACGTATAAATGAATTATTTCATTCATTCAGAAGTATACATTAATGTATATTTATGTAAGTAGTTAAATATGTGATTTCCCGCCACCAACCTTTAGATAGTTTATATGATCCGCGACGTCCAATTGGCGTGGAACTTGTACTTGGGTACTCGTCCGGCGATTCTGACAAAAGAAAAATTATTACTTTAAGTCCAACAACAGACAAGTCTGTATTTTGAAGCTGTTTTTTCCAAATCACAACTAAATACTTTCATGCAGAACAATAATACAAAAGCATATAAAAATATAACCAAAAACTAAACATATAACCCTTTGTAATTAACTCAAAACCAATTCCAAATAAGAATAAAATATTTAAAAAAATGCAGCCGTATTCAAAATGAAAAAAGTATAAAAAATAAGCTAATTTTTCATTTGGAGTACAGCTTTGAAAAAAAATATACTTCAAAATAGTTATTAAAAAAATTATATAAAAAAATGAAAGTAAAATTATAATTACCTTTAACTGTAAGGGAATCTTGAGAGCCTCTGTAATAATCTCTCCTCATTGAATTGCTATTAAATTGGCCGTAGCCTTTGATTATTGATTCGCAATCGATCAATGAATCAAACAGTTCAATATTAAAAGGAGCCATGCAACAAACAATTAATAAATAAAAAATTAAAAAGAAAACAAATGAAACGAAATTAAAAATAAAAAATTAACAGTAAAAAATCAAAAATAAAAATATTTGTAAACACCAATAACAACAATAGTTTCGCAAAGCAACAAGTTGAAAGTTTACCTGTTAGATTGGTACTAGAACCTTTTTTGCCGCGACTAGATATGGTTGAAGCATCACTTATATCAACAGATCCATCGTCGACGTGTATTGTTTTGGGTCGTGGACGTGTTGGTTTGGGGCGTGTTCTTGTCACAGTGTTTGTGTTGGAGCTTGGTTTGTGTCCAATATCTGAGCGATCAATTGTTTTACCCTGTAATTATTTAAATAATTAGTAACAACAGCAACATTTTAAGATAGAACTTCATACTTCTCGCTCAGCTTCCTCGAGAGCTTTCTTGAGACGGTGCTGTTCGAGTATAGCTGCTCTACGGGCCATTTGTTCCTCCTTTTTACGCTGCTTTTCTTCCTCTTTCTCACGTTCTATTTCACGTTTTCGTGCAGCCTCTTGTTCCTTTCGTTCTTTAGCTTCTTCCTGCTGTTGGCGACGTTGAAGAGATAAAAGCATAATCTTTTCTTTACGACGTTCCATTTCCTCTGCTGATTCCTAAAATACCAAAAAGGTCTCGTTATATCGGCTTGCAAATGGAAATAAAATCCATTATCTCACTTACCGGATCAAGAGTAGATGGATCTGTGCCAATTACCAAAGCTTTGCTTTTGACTTCACGGTTCTCTAAAGGTGTACTGTTCCTTAAATGTGTTGGCGAAGTGGAAGCTACAGATGGAGGTGGTGTTTGTGGCTGATTATTGTGCGAAGATGAAGAGTTTTGTGTTTTGTGTTCGTTTTTGCTCTCACCCACTGACATCACCTGACTGAGTTGTATGGGACTGTCGGTATATTTGTTGTAAGTGGCTTTATTTATGTCCATTGTATTTCTGTTTTGGTTACTATTGCTGCTGTTACTCTCGCTATAGTTCAGTTTATGTACTTTTGGTCTAATTTTTGGCTCGACACTAACGTCATTGCTGATCATTTCAACGTAGTCGGTTGAGTCGGAATTGTTCGATAGCTGGTTGTCAGTACTATCTAGGCTCTTTTCCTTTTTCGGTGAACGCTTGGCTCGCAAAGGTGGTTTAGGTCTTTTAGGCTGATCATCGTCGAAGGAAATGTAGAAGCCTTTCTCAGTAGTATTCTTTTCTGATGATCGGGGATCCTAAATATTTGCAAGTCAATTTAATAGAACATTAATAGTTATTTATAATAGTTATATTTACCTGGAAGCTATTCGGATGGAGTAGTGGACGTTGTGGTGAAGGTATTCTATAGGTTAGATTGCCGCTTGTAATATTTAGTTTTTGTGGCATCATGTCACTGCCGCCACCACCAACATAATCGTCATAGTTGTTTTCCCGTTCGTCGCGTTGCATTTGTGCTGCATGAGAAATATGCGATTGTTGTTGTTGCTGCTGTTGGTTGTGATGTATGGGGAAGATGTATTCTGAAAGACCAGTGGATTGCATTTTTTCAATAACGTTACGTTCAATTTCGTCAATATCATCCTGATCGCCTATAAAGCAAATACTTTGAGGTGCCATGACATCATCAGGAGGCGTGGGAGCAGATGAAGGCTTGGGAACAACATTAGGTGATCTCGTTTCTCTTAAATTAGTCATAGATTGCTGCCTCTGTACACCGCTACCCATACCTACTCCTCCGCCATTACCACCTGTCATGCGTTGGCTATGCAATGGAGAGGAGTGCACCGGGTACATTTGATGGTGTTGGCCATCTCCGTTTTGGTGTATGGACGTGCGGTGATGCTGTATGTTATTTTCCCCTTGTGGGCTACCCCAATTTGGACCACCACCATCGCCATCCATAGATTTCTGAGGTCGCCTCTGCCAAGTATTGCCACCGCCAACGTCTACCATTTGCATCGGATCGAACGACGGCTGACCCCATGTTCTTCTTTGTGTAGGATACTGTTGCTGATTTGGCTGTTGTTGCACTAGAGGTTCATGTCCATAGTAATTGTTCGGTTGTGGCGACATGTTCGGCTCACGGCCATGCATCGACTGTATTTGATAATCATCGTAAATACTTTGACGAGGAATGTATTGTTGATGCGGATGATGACTCTGCATCGGCGGTTGACTATTCTGAGACTGTGGCCCACCGAAGCTATGGTTGTTACTTCTGTTATAAGGCACGGCGTTGTTGTCATTGTAATGAGGATGCATGGTATTGTATTGAGATTGGGGCATCATGGCTGGCGGTTGTTGTTGTTGGGCGTACATATAGGGAGCATTATCATTTATATACTGGACAGGCATAGTTTGCATTTGCTGATAGGGATCTCGACTTGGTGGTCTAGAGCCATACGGATTAACAACACCGCCGGCATTAAACGACTGTGGCAAATGAGGTGATGATCCAAAATTCGGTTGATGTTGCAAGGGTCTTGTTGGATAAGGATCGGCTAAATGTTGTTGTGATCCGAAATTTTGTTGTTGCTTATAGAAGAAGAGCAAAAATAATTTCAAGACAATCAGTTAAGGAAGTGAGAGATAAAATAAAACTGTTTTGTTTAATAAAGCGAGTAAAATATATTCTCGTCTGACAGAGTATACAGTCAAATTAGAATTAGACTCAGATACAGATACGAAGATCTGGTGTAAAAAAGAAAACATTGAACATCTAATTACGGAAATGTGTTAAATGGGCGTGTATGTGTGTGTATAGAATGTAAAATATTTTGATGTGCGTTGTTGATCTGTGATGTTTACCTGATTCAACATATTTGCTATTTGTTGGGCCTGCAGGAGCTGTTGAGCTTGCATTTGTTGGGCCTGTATCTGATTTTGCTGCGTAGCTAATCTTTGTATATCTTGTTGAATGTCTTGAAGATTCATATTCATAATAGCGATGCTTTGCTGTGTGAGTTAATGATGTAAAGGATTTAGAAGTTAGAAATGCAGTTAATTACGTTTACGGTGGGCAAACATACATACATACAAAGTTACATACAGTCACGTTTAAGATAAACTCAAAATAAAAACGATTTTTAAACAATACTCTTTACACCAAAACAAAGGGACAACATGATACTGAATTTCAAAATATAAATAATTCAAATTTATTCTTTTCTAAGGATTTTGAAAACAATTTTAATTTTAAATAAAAATATGTACTACTACGAGGGTAAATATTTATATTGTGAGTTTATATTAAGAAGAATTTTGAGATTCTATAATTGTGAATGAAAAAAGTGATTTTTTAAATATATTTTTTTCTAAATTATTATAGATTGTATATAATTCTGCTAAATATCCTTGGATTGGAAAACAGGAAACCCTAACTGAAAAGCTCACAATATAAATAACTAACATCGTAAATTTTATATAATTCCACTGTAGATTAAAATCTTTAGATTTTTTATGATTACACATTTAGTGTTAGAACAATGAAACAAACATAAAAATCTTATAAAGTTTTGACTGAAGTACTGATAAACAAATATTCTAATTTTATAAAGAAATCGTTTTGAAATTTAACAATTTTTGAACAACCATTAAATTATTAATAATGTTTTATCATAGTGGATATCTCTGTTAAAGAAATGATTTGCATAATTTGTAAATGAGTTAAAGATAAACAAGATTACAATAACATGGAAATGCGGCCACCACAATAAGAAAATACTTCAAATTTATTTTACCAACCTGGTATTTATCCAATTCATTGGGATCAATATCCGAAGTACGACTCATGGTTTCCCACTTCATGTAATCAGCATCGACAAGATCCGTATCCTGATTGAACTGCAAAGTAAAGTAAATTTTGTATTAATAGCGGATTAATAAATAAAACAACACTTTCAAGTTAAGTTAAAATACTTCTTTTTGGTGGCGCGACAGAGCTGCTTCAATTCTTTGTTTATCCTGCTCAATTTTCTTTCTTTTCTCTTCTAGTTTCATGCGTATGGTGTTGAGCTTGTAAGTGCTTTCTAACGAACGAGTGTCATCATCAAACGTGTCTAAAATATTGTAAATATTAATGAAATTAGCTGCAAGAGTTAAACAAAAACTTTAAAATGTTATTTACCACATTGATTATTTTGCCAATTGGGAGTTTTCATATGCATACTTGCATTTGAAGATTTTCTAGTAAGGGTAGCATTTGGATCGCGTGGCGGCTCATCTGAAGCCAATTCTGGACTAGTGGAATGCTTTTGTGGACTGTTAATGGCATTGTTACTTCTATTTTGTGCACTGGATGCAAAATTAACATTATCGTAGCTGTAAATATTATTAATGTTTAGTTCAATTCAAAATTTGAATTATGACGGAGTAAATAATCTTTACCTAGTTTGTCGTTTAAGTGGTTCTTGTTTCTCTGTATCGCGATCTTGTTTTTCTGAACCTGAATCGGTATCATAACCTAATTGCAAAGTACCACGAGCATCAGCAATGGAAGATCTAACGGGAACCACATGTTCTAGAAAATGATTTATAAAAGTGATAAATGTATAAAACTGCGTTAATATTTCCCAAATACCTATTGTTGTGTTGGATAATTTACGTTCTCTCTCTCTTTCAAAACGCTCAATGTTATTCAGCTGATCCTGAGAGCCACCAAAGTTTTCAATTGTCAATTGAGAATCTTCACTAGATGAGTTTCTACGTGATCTTCGTCCTAGAAAGCCAAATTAAAATACAATCATAAGGAAAATTTAACATCAATTAATATAAATTAAATATTTACCTGCATAACTGGGTCGACGGTGCTGATCCCAATTACTAGGTCTTCCAGCTGGTACATTGTCCCCTAAATAAAATAAATAATTTAAATCAAGTAAAATATTTCGAACGTCAAGGTAAATGTAACAGAAAATAACATTGTGTAAATGGCAAATGAGAAATGAAAGAAACAGAAAAGTAAAAAAACAAACCTCTTTCATCGGCCTTGGATTCTGTATTGTTTTTTTCTTTGGCCTGTCTTAAACGAGCCGGCATTAAGGGATCCTGTTGCTGCATATGCATGGATGATAGTGTGGTAATACCACGTGATTTGTGTACAACGAATGCTAATCAAATAAAATCAAATCAAAAATAAAATAAATTTAATGTAAAAACTTAAAAGTTCAACACAAACGGGCTTAAATTGAAAAGTGCCAATAAGGATTACCTTCGTTTTCGAAATGAGTATTTTCAGCCATGTTATGCTGATCAAATTGAGATGATGGTGGTTGTATGGATAGTGCTGGTTTATTAATTATGAGACCACTTGCAGAATTCGTATACGTAACTAAAAGTGTAAATTCATTTTAAATAAAAGAAAGCAATACGACGAAAATAAGTAAACAATATTTCAAATAAATAATTTAAAATTATGAAAACTTTAATAAAACAAACAAATTAAAAGAAAAGTAATAAAAGATTATCTTAAGTGGTTAGAAACAGGATGAAGTTTTAAGGAGCAGTTGTTACTTTGATTTCTTATTGAATCGTGAATTGCAAAAAAATAAAGGAATAAAACAATACTCACTAATTACCGCACTAACAATTCAAAAGTTTTTAAGCAAAAAATATTGAAAATTCACTATTTTAAAGAAACACACACACATACAATTTCACAGGGAAGAATTCACCTAGTGTCTTGGGAAGTATAAATATTTTTACTATTTTCTTTTTTTATTATTTATACATATAGTAGAGAATGTAGTATGTATGTATGTTCGTACTAATAAAATGGGACAAACTTATGAAAATGTTGTATAGATCAAAAACTATATGGATGTTTTCATAATGTATGTATGTATGTATGCATGGATGATGGTTGGATAAATATATGTATAAATGCGTACTGTGGTGATATTGTTTGTGAATGAATAAAAAAAGTGTGTATTAAAATAGAATTACATGCATCTATGTATGTATGTCGTAAATGTTTAAAAATAATAGCAAAATAACGAAATATTAAACAAAACAAGCAAAATTTAAAACAACATAAAAATAAATAAGGAAAATTGAAAATTTGTATTGTGGTGTTTCGAGTTTGTATTTTTTTTTTTTTTTTTTGTAAAATGTTTGCGAAACAATAATAACCAACAACAAACACTAAAACAATTTAATTTCTTTGATCATTGTTAATATTGACCTTGAAATTGAGGTCTTGACGATGGCGATGAAGAAGGTTGATCTAATTCACTTCTTAAATCAGGAATCGGTGTGACAGTAGGCATAGTTAAACCGCGGCGGTGATAAATTCCATGTTCATTGGCACCTGCATTCTGTTTAGCGATGATTTCTGTTATGTTTAAATGTTTTTCGAAAACATATTTTTTTGTACATTGCATACCAGAAACAGAAAGAAAGAAGATAAAAGAGAATAGTTTTAAATCGTTTGCATATTTAGAGAAAAAATATTTTTTGTATTAAAACACCTATTTTATGTAAAACAAATGGACAAAACATAGAATATTGAGTTGCAAAATTTATCAGGAGCCCATTAAGTATTTGTACACGACGTCCTGGGGAACAGTCCAGATAGAATTGATATGCAAGACAAACAATTCAAATTCAATGCAACAACAAAACTGGACAATATTACAATGCAATTTATACAACAATGAAGGCAGGTTGGATGTTAAAATTTCCTTAAAAAATGTTACATTCGACATTCAGTAATTATATGTAAATATCTTTCTTCAAACACATTACAGGCTCTAAGGATATGTGTGTGTTTCTTTATTAGCCAGAATACACAGAATAACAATAATTAATAAAATCTAAAAGTTAAATTAAGATTACTATGGTGTCTATTTGTATAATTAGCAATGAATCTCCATTATTTCCATTACCAAATCACCATCATTTGCCAAAATTTAGTTACAAAGTACAGGATTAATATTAATACTAAAAGAAGCCTTCTTATTATTAAACTTTAGCTTAGTGTTTTTATTAATTTTTTTTTTTTTGTGATAAAGTGGTAAAAGTGACAGAAAAAAAACCGAGTTTATTAACAGACACTGTTTGTATGTGTATGTATATACATAGACCATTACCAGATATAATAAGAATATGTACCTCTTCCAAATAATACAAAAAATAAACAAGCAAAAAGTAAAGATAGAAATAGAAAATTGAAACTGAAATGTAACAAAGCTTACCAATAGAATCCATGCCAGGATAAGTGACACAATTGGCTGGATGAATTTCAAAAAGATTAAACAAATCGGCCAAAAGAACAAGCAAATTTAGACGCATTGATCTGCAAAAAACATGGAAAAATATATAAGACAATTTAGTAATAGAAGAGCGTGTTTCAAACGGAATACCCTCTCATATATGTGACATCCTCGGGAAGCATATGGAACACATTGTATGGCAGATACTTTTGAGAAAAATTGCTCACTAACAAAACATTGTGTATAGAATCCTCAACTGCCGGTAAATAGTTTATGCGCACATCAGTCCAACGCACAACTTTGGGACAATAGTAAGATATCAACAGAGCTAAACAAATGCCATCGCAAAGATCTTGAAAGTCACGCACCGGCGGTATGTCTGGGGCTTGCAGACGTTTGCCCTAGAAAGCATTAATACGTGATTTAATGAGATTTCTTTGATATGACTCAAATTACTTACATTTTCATCTTCAGGATTTATTTGTAAATCACGTTCTATACGTTTCTTTAAAGCAGCACAAGTATGAGACACCCACGAAAGAATTGTATGTTCTACATTCCCACTAACTGTAAGAACAGGTTGATCACTATTACCCGATATTCTTTTGATAGCATTATTAATACGTTCGTTTGATGTTATTTCCTTGGCATACAACATCATAAGTGCCTCTACAACTGCCATATGACCCACCTATTTAATGTGATATATAATTTATTAAAGTATTCTGAAATGATTTCGTAGTTAGTACTTACAATTCTTAGGGGATTTGTTTGTATCAATACTGTTTCTGTTAGAGGCATATCGGGCGATTCATTGACAGGCACTCCCTTACGTGCCAATGTTTGCAATATCGACCAGTGATTAAGGCTTTGGTAATTTGGATCGGAATATAAATTCGATAATGTCTGGCAATACAAAGTTGCATTCCCCAGATCAACAACAATTTTCGGTTTAAGTCGCTCTTGGTTCTCATGATCCCTATAGAACGGCTCCTTAAGATTGTCCGGCACTCGATTATTATATGCCTTGGACAGTAACCATTTAACCGAAGCACGATAACGAGCCTAAAAAGCAAATAATTCGAATGAATTACTCAGAAACATCTTCTAAACGCATAACTATTCCAAATTTATTTACATACAAGAAATACCCCAAGTTAAGGGAAACAAGTGCAAACATTTTTGCTGTTCTAGCAGACATACACCACTAGTCTGTTTATAGAAATTATGTCAGCATTTTGACAAAAAGACAAAATTAGGGAGACTCCTATTCTGACCAATAATTCTTTTAACCAAATGTAAAAAATTCAAATGAAACTCGTTTGTACATTTTTATAGACATGTTAACATTATGGCAAGCAGTGTATGTAGGTGTCCATAGAGGTACGTAAGTACGTTACAAATATTTCAACTTAGACCACACAAAAAAATACACAGACACGTACGTACATATCGACAATATTCATATTCTGTAGATTTTGTTAGTTTTTATGCATGAATGTGTGTGACGTTCAAACAAAAAAAAAAAATAACGATAAACTTCAATTACACTCGATCAGCTTTGTAGAGTCAATGATGAGCGATTGATAAATGTACTCAGAGAATTATTGTTAGAATTATGTACATATTTATGTATAAACATAAACGCATTTCATGCGAATAATGTGAGACTACTGAGAAGGGTCGTTGGGGCACGTACATGCTTAAATTCGTAAGTTATTTTTTGGGGGGAAAGAAATTTGACATATTGTTTTCCATTTAGATTATTGGTTGTCTGTGCTACAGAAAAAAGTTGAATGCTACTCTTTTGGCAATAGATGTAGGCGAATGACACCACCATTCATATAAACTTTATAATACTACAAATTCTTTTTTGTTGTTTAATTGTTTGTTAAACAGAATAATATGTAGAATGTGTTAATACATTTAATAGCGACTAACATTGACAAAACAGGTATGTATATTATTGAAACTGGTCGAATTGAAAACAATACAATTTAACAATTTTCAAATAAAGATATTAGAATGCATGAATGAATTGGTCATCATAGTAGGTACACATATACACATTTAATCACTAAAGACTTGTCCAATATTTTTTTCCATGTAATTCACTAATTCGCTGGTTCATTACTTAGCAATTCAATGAACAATTAAGTAATGGCAAATCCAACAAATATAAATTATGTATAGAGTGGTACTTGTATAAAAGAAGTTGAAATATTGATGTAGAAATACGAAAGAAGGAAAAGATTTTCTCGCAAATTGAATATTTATTTATTCCATTATGAACATATGAATTTTGCATCATACCTGACGAATTTCTTGTGTTTCGTCCATTATGAGATTTTGATTTATTTTTCGTTTACAAAAATAAATTAGACAACTCAAATTTGCTCAAAGAAGAGTCGACAAGTAGCAGCAGCAGCACAGGCTGCGACCCAAAGCAGCACTAATGAATGTAGACGGCAGTCGCTGCAGAGCTTATGAAGTCAGAGGAGTGTTTTTCGCCTTCTTCCTCTTCTACTTTCCACCTTTTGTTTTTTGCTTATGTTCGTCGTTTTTTACTTCTTTTTTTCTGTTACTTTTTTTGTTGTTTTTTTTTTTTGGATAGCTTAGCTTTGCACACAGGGCAGCAGGCGTTTCCACATCGAAATAAATAATAAATATTGTATTTGTGCCCTCTTTCCGCTTACTTTCACCGAGACTACTGTGAAAACTTTTTAGTTTGATGATTCCTTTTTTATTTATGTATTTCTATCTTGCTGTGTAATTTTTTCTTTTATTTCAATTCTTAGATTTTGCTTAAATAAAATCGCAACTTTGCGGTTTCGTGTAACTAATTATGTTAATTACTTTATCATCATCAAGTTCAGTGTCCATTACAGAGATGAAGAATATAACTGCACTTTAAAATTTAACAAAAAAAAAAAAAAAAACTTTTTATGTACAAAACTGAACAGCGAACAGAAAGTGATTCACTCAATCATAACCGCGGTGGGCGTAGGGGTTTTAGAGCAGCATTTGACGTAGTCGTCGTCACCGTTGTCGTCAGCTGTTTACACTTTTCCAATTTTTGCCGTCTTACTGAATATTCTTCATCACAAATTCATCTTAATTGTCTTTAATCGACATTAATAAACAATTTTCAGTAATTTTATATTTATTTGCACACATATAATTTCTAAATACTTTTTTTCACGATGCAAAAAATTAACACAATTCTTATGGGTATTTTTCTGGCAGTCGTATCTGCATTATTCGATAAAAACTCTATTTGATTCTCTCTCACAAACTTCACAGTACTAATGACATAGCAAATATTTCTCTCTTTCTTTTTTATTACGACAAATTTTTTTCTTTCTTTTCAAGTAGCAAATTCATTTTATTTCCTTTTTTTCAAACATATTTTTTAGAATTTCTTTTTAGTTACAATGTTCGCCAATTTTTAGTAATTGTTGTTAATTTTCGAATGTTTATTTATACTCGCATTTATTTTAATTATTGAATTTTCATTTATTTATATCGTTTATGGAGTAATATTTTTTAAGCTCTGCTAGTGTATCTTGTTTTAGTTAATTCAACCCGTCATCAAAGATCTGTGTCGACAAGCATTAAAAATGACGGCGGCGTTTGACAATTAAAATTTCAGCGGCGGCGGAAAACCGTCTATAAGCCGGCTAAGTTTACAACTGTGTTTTATATTAATTAATAAAATATTCAAAATTAAAATGGCGGTTGCCAATAAAGTTATTTTAATAATTATAATTTGTTAGTTTTTAATTTGAATAGATAGCCCATACATGAATTTGAATCAATAGTTGAAACAAAAAGTCGAATTTGGTGGCGGCTAGACTTAGACGTTTTTATTCCGAAACGGCGAAGGTCTCTACACGTCGTGCAACAATTTGCCAGCCTACACTGTTTGACATATGGAAAATGGTGATGCCAGTATAAAAAAATATTTAAATTTTTTTATTCGCCAATGTTGTGTTGCCATTATGAAAAAATATGAACTATTTGTGATCGGGCAATGATGTAAATAACATTTTTAAAAAATAAATCGTTTAATTATATTATACATAAATGACGAAGAACGTCGTCGTCAAACGACAATAATGCTGTGGTGAATTAAAATAATTGTGGTAAAACTCACAATAAATTATGTCAAGGGCACCTTTTCCAAGCACCAATAAAAACTGTTTTTTTATATTTTTGGTTGCAACACAAATTTGGTTGCAACACAAATTTCTTTATAACAAAATTTTACAACCCTAAAAGTATGCTTTGATTTTTATATTTTATCCTAAAAGTAAGTATGCTGTTGTTTTTGCTAGTATTGAGCGAGGTAATACAGTTATTACTTTATTACCAAAAGAAACAGCATTACCGATATAACGAATAACGGCAACTGTATTATCACCATTTTGAGGTTTCAGCACTGCATATTTAAGGTTTTCGAATTAAATACCAATAGGAACTGCATTAACTGTTTCACACTGTTGCCGGAAAGGTTAATTTGTAATAAATATTGAATATTTCACATATAAAATGGAGTACAACAAATGACAATAATCTATTCTATAGTCTATGTTGTTATAACAGTTCGACTGTGGCCGATAGTTCTTTCCTGGGAAAAAACTTTCGATTGATACAGCTGTCGCTGGGTTAACAATCTTTGGCCGAGTATGACTCGGGTCGTTCCGGAGCGAATATCCAATTGTCGTGGGAACTAATTCAGTAGTCTAATCTTAAGGCTAGTGTATAGTAATGTCTATAGTCTAGTCTATAATATAGTTTACAGTCTAGTCTATAGTCAAGTCCATAGTCTTGTCTGAGGTCTAATCTATAGTCTAAAGACATCATTTAAAGCCTCTTTACTAAAACTATTTGTATCTCCATGATCGAAATAAAATTTATAGAAACATTTTTATTTCTACACTTTACTAAATGTTCTCACAATTTTTAGTTATGTATTAAGTATAAATAATTTAATATTACCAAATGTTTTCATTTTATTTTTTTTTATTCATTTCTTAATGCGAAAAAATGAACTAAGTAGTAAATATAATTATATAATATTTATTTTAAGATATGTATTTATATATAATATTTTTTTTACAGATTATTCAATAATATTTTAAACGTTTTAAAACTATAAAAAGCTTAAATTTAATTAAATTGTTGATTCGATACGTTAAATGTAGCTTTATTTAAGAGATAAATATGTATTGAATTTATTATTTATTAATAAAAAAAAAACAAATACTTTTTCTTAATATAAATGATATAAATTTTTAACAACAAATACATAGTTTTTATATATATTATTAATTTATTATGTATTTCTGTATGTACAACATTTTTGAATTGGTATTTATTTAATAATATTACTTAATTACATTAACTTGTTTAATATGTATTTTACAGTTCTTAGTGAATTTGTTTATTAAATATTTATTTAATTAATTAAGTATGTATAACGCATTTAACGATATGTATTATAACGATATTGTATTTTAAGTGTTATGGTGAAATTTTAAAATGTTGTTTTATTGATTTTATTTATTTTATTTGTGTGAAAACTGTTTTAAAAAAATTTTTAATATGTGAATGTGTTTTCTTTATTGTTGTTACGCATTAAACTTTTGATATACAAATTAAACAATTCTAATTGTAGTATGTTTTTTATGTAATTATTAATTTTATATGCAGATTAATAACGATACCTAAAATATTCACCTTATACCACCCACTTACTAAGAAGAAAGTAAGTAGTAGGGTAATAGGGCTGAAAGTTTGTGTGAATTAGTTGGTGATTTTAAACTTTTATTACTAGTATCGTTGGTAATTTTAATAATATTTAATATGTTTACTTTAAAATTTATTAATATTTTTTTATTTATGTTGGAAATACAAACATACTAGCTATATGTTACTTTGTTTATTTATTGATTAATTTGCATGTATACAATTATGTAGGGCATTTAATAAGTCGTATACAATTATTTAAAAATTTTCTTTTTGTTATGGGATTTTTGATTTTTTTAAAGTTTACACTATTTTTTATAAAAAATACACATTATAAATTATGTGAAATGTTAACAATTTCATATGAATTCAATTAAACTACTTAAACCTTATGAAAGAACAAAAAATATTTAAAAATTTTAATATTTACAAACAAATTAGAAGATTTTTTGTTTAGATTTTATAACTGCTATTGTTTTGATCATGTCTATGAAAAGTTAGTGTGTTAAAGGGAACAGAAATTGTAAAACAAAACTATTAAATAAAAAAAAATAAATAAATGACAATAATAATATTGCACGGTTTGTGTGTCTTTTTTTTTTAAAGAATGACGATTTTTTAGTAAGCAGTAGATTTTATTTAGTTTTATTTTAAAAAGCTGCCCATCGTCATTTATTAGTAGTAATATTATTTTGTTGACGTCACTAGTTGTGAACTGCTGTAGCCTTGTGTATTGCAAGTGGGCAAAGTGAATGGATTAAAACTCAAACTGCTAACTCCTGCAATATATAAAAACACAAAAAGACACACAAAAATGAATAACAAATATAAAGCAAAGTCAATAAATAAAATGTAAAACTAAAAATATAAACCAAACTAAATATGTATACATATAAACTCGTTTACACTTGCAGTGAAATTGAAAATAGCGAAATTCTCTAACAAAATTTAATAAATATTATAAATTTCATCGCAAATACGAAATTGTTATTAGTTATTCCAAACTATAAAACATTTAACATTATTTTTGGGAAAAGTTTGCTTCTTATAAACAGCTGGGTGTCTTCATTTCCTTCTTCTCTCTCTTTCACTGTATCTGTTATTTAAATTTTGACAGCTAGATATTGCAAAACTATTTAAAATGTTGCAAAAGTGCAAAATGTTTTTGGAATTACAATTTTCGTAGCAAATAATTTTTCAATGCAAGTGTAAATGTTGTTAAATTTAAATTGATTTAAAATAAAAATACAAATAAAAAAACTAAATAAATATAAAAAACCAAACTAAATAATAAAATAAATAAAAAATGAAATCATAGTAGCTATTCTATTAAAGTGTTTCAGTGTTTATAGTCTCAAATGATGAACGGTCGGTCAATGGCGGTTTAGTTGATTGGATTCGTTTGGTTGGTTAGTTAGTTTAATTTAAATTTTTAGTTATTTAACACAATTTGATCTTTTTTTAACGCTTTCAGTAGTCATTTAATTTATATATGAATTGATATTTTATATATTATTGACTTTTAACAGAGACGTATGGTTAGCTAATGGTTATTGTAGTGTATGTAGTTTAGGATTATGACATTTAAAGGATTTTATGGTTGCATTACCCCGTTTTTGTATAACGTTGTTCAGGACCAGTGCCGACTGTTGGGACGTTCGATCTTCGTTCTGTTTAAACGGCCGCTGTGGCTGCTGAAACGGCTGGATTGTGCCAAGGCTGATGCGGATGATGGTAGTGGTGTGGATGCGAGTGATGATGTTGTACCAGAGCCTGATGCCAGGTTGAGGACACTGTTGGAATTAATGGCGAAAATGCACAAGCTGAGCATTGGTTTTATATAACAGTTTAGGTTTTTTTATGTTTAAGTATTTTTTTGTTTTCTTCTTTTTAATGTTTTTCATGGTTTTTGTTTTAAAATTGTGTTTAGTTTTTCAAACAAACGAAAAGTTTCTTAATAAACAACAATGAACAGAAAGAAACTATGATTTAAATTCAAAACCAAATTAAGTTGCAAACTCAAAATAAGGAAAACGAAATTTCAAATCAAAAACCACTTAAATATAAAAAAAAGAATTTGTTGTCTGGCTATACTGACTTGATGTGGAATTGAAAACACTGCCGGGTGAAGAGGATAATGTGCCCATATTTGGTGTAGGACCATAACCATTTGTAGCTGCCGTAGTTGTAGCACCATAAGAACCGCCTCCCGAACTATGGGGTGTAGAAGCACTGCTGCAATAACCGCCTCGAGGACTAACACTGCTTGACTGGGTTCTTTGATAGTCGTCTTCGGTCCATTGGCCACTACCATCTTGTACACTCACTGCCAATTGGCCAGCATATGAATTGAAGCCGGTTGAACCGCCGGGCGATCTATTGGTTTAAGCAGAAAGTTTGTTTTAATATAAATTAGCAGAAAATATAGTTTTGAAGAACTTACCTAGGCATGGAGTACAAAGCTTCCACCAAATCGGCTGCTCTTTTTAAAATAATTTCCTTTTGCAATTTTTCTGGATCGCCAGGGTGGCGGGGTATTAACTTCTGCAGTCGTTGAAAGCCATAATCAATAGTAGGCTCATTAAGGGCTGCTTAAACAGACAAGAAAAATAACGATTAATTAATATCTAAAAGTGGAATTCTAGATTTGTTTAAGAGTCTAGAATTAGATGTTCAAAGCAATCTTTAAAAACTTACAAACATAAACAAAACGCCCGGGTGAACCTTTGCAAAACTGTTTACTTTTATAGGATAATGTCACTTCGACTACACCGGGTATATGTCTGGGTGGTGTTTGCACACGTATGGCATGTGATGTTATCAGTTCACTCCATACCAGCATTGTGCCGAATACAACCTGCAGACCATCAAAGAAATTATCACCCACAATGATGACAGTGGCACCACCAGTGGTCCAGCCTTCGCTTGGTGATATAGCCTTAATGCAGGGTGTGGCAACAGGCAGCGGTGGATATAAGCCTAAAATATTGGAAAGCAAAAATAACATTTATTAGTTTATTTTGCATTATTTTATTAACAAAAGTCACGAATAGCTTTAATATGGTCTACGGGGTTATTATGCCAATTAGAGTAAAAAGAAAATAAACTAAATGAGAATTACAACAAACAAAAATAACTACACGATCGGTTGAATAAATGAATTTCTCACACTTTGTGTCAAGACAAATTAAGGCATTAATTTAAGAACAAAGCTTCAATGTTTAAAGAATGTCGCAATTTGCCTCCATTTATAATCAAACCTTAATACATCCATTACAACCTTTAACAAAAGAAACTCGTTAACAAAATTATACTTTACTAAAACTTAAAATTGCAACATATTAGTCGATCTTTTCTTTATGTAAACAAAAAAATAATAATTGAATAGAATTTTGATTTACAGACCATCATAGGTACTGTCAGGCGCTAAGGGATGTCCCGTTATGGACAGAGAGGAATTGCCTGTACCTTCCGTTGTATCCAAACGTTTGGCTCTACGACCATGTTTGGAGTTATTATGCACAAACATATTATCCGAAATCGCCAGCAAAGGACCCTCCACACTCACTTGAGTGGCTATGACAACCTGCAATAGAACGTTAATAAAAAACAACATTAAATTTAAATTTGGAGATTATTTTTAAAGGATTTTTAGATTTTGCTTATAAAACTTACCTGGAATCTACGCATATCTCTAGGATTTCCAGCATTTTTTAAGCAATTTTGATTACATTTCAAAAAGAATTTCAGGAAAAATCTACAAATAGAAAATTAAGAACGTAAAGATAAAATTAGTTCTTTTTTTAACAAAAAACATTAATTATTTTAGTGCTTGTCATAATATTTCTTTACACCATAAAAAAGTCCTTAAAAATTTGACACCCGACTCCTTAAGTTTGGTTTAAAGTCAAGCATTTAAATATAATTTGTAAGATATTTAAAGTAATCATAAAAACATCTACATTTGAAATATTTATGACCTTAACAAAGAAATGTTTTATGTAAAAAACTAGATTTCCAGGCTGGGAACAGGATTTAAAGCGTAATAATTTTTGTCTATTTTACATATTTATATCTATTCTAGTATAAGTTACTTTGGTATTCAAATTTCACTTTTCAACAATTACATACATACAAATACATATGACTACAAGGAGTACAATTGTAATTCAATACCCAAACACTTTATTTAGTCTACCACCAAAAATACAAAAAGAACAAAAGAGAAAAAAACTCAATACTGAAATTTATTCAATATTTTTTTTTTTTACAACACAACTGTTCAAATCTTAAATTATGTATTTCACTAGATTTAAAGTATTTGGGAGTATGTTTTAGTACTTGTTTTAAAAATTCTGTTACATCCCTTATAGTTATTATTTTCAATATCTATTTCAAAGAAAACATAAAATAATATTTTTAATATTCATAGAAATTTGAATATTTATGTATATGTTTTTACTATTTGATAATTAGTGAGGCAATGTGTCAAATAAGTGTTTTCTACAATTATTAGAATGATAATGATAACATTGATACTCATGGAGTGTGTATAAATCAAAATTGTTTTCAACACTTAACAAAAAAATGTAAGATAAACAAATCGACCAAATAGCCATTATAATTTAGAAACGTTTATATACATTAACCAAGTATGTACTTGAATTTTAAAACACCTAAACCTCGTTAAACGTAGAGTTTGATGTAAACAAACCTATTTTTATTATAATTTCTTTATCCCGATGATATAGCAGAATAAAAAATGCTTTCATATAGTACTCATGGATATTTCAATTGCTCTCTTTCTCTATCTTTCCTTCAAACCTTCTCAATACCTAACGTTTTAGAAAAAGGTAAACAATGAAATGCTTATGTGTCAATTTGTTAAAAATGACACATTATAAGAGTAGAAGAAGCATAAATTAGTACTTGAAATAAGGTAATTATAAACAAATGTCAAATTTATTATAAATTAGCTAAAAAAAGTGTACAAAAAAAAAACACACAACAAATACAATACTACTTAAATATGTATAAAACTCCCCTCTTGAACTGATTTCTCTCTAAACAAAACAACCAACACAATAAGAACAGTTAAATATTTATGTAGATTCCTGCAGAGTTAAAGGATACTTTAAATGTTATTTCATTAATAAACCCTCTTAATTTCTTTTTTGCCATACAACCACTTATTCATAAGGATGTGTAAAAATCCTAGTGCTAGGATTGCTGCCTTAGATATCAACTCATATGTGTTACGTATAACATTTGCTCATTTTAGTTTCTTTCTGTTACTTTTTTACTAGGGATATACAATGAAAAATGGGCGTTTTGATATCATCATTGCAGCTACTTGTTTTGTTTTTTTTACAATTTAAATTGTCATAAAACAGAGGGAAAATTGAACCAACGAAGAAAAAAAAGAATTAAATAAAAACAACAAGGACACTGCAATAAAATAGCCTGCTGTGCAATATTTTATCAAACAATGTGTTGGTAGTTGTTGGTTGTTGGTCCTTTAGGCAAATTATTTATCCGTGTGAATTCAATTTGTCGCCCTGGGGTTTATAACATTTGGGTGCACTTGATACTTACTACTCTGGTGGCTGACTGGCTGGCTGGCTGGCACTAGTATTCTATATTTCAATTGTTAAACAAATCTAACAGGAAAAAAAAAACATAACATACAAATCATATAAACAGAGGATGCTGTCCAAATATTTACTACCAGTTACATATTTATGTATTTATACTACGTGTAGTGTAAATAACTAATTGCCTTCCGGCAAACATCTGTTCGATTTATTTTGTATGACAAAAAAAGGAAGTGCCATTTGACATTCACACTCCTTATAAGTATGAGTTTCAGTTTTTGAGTCCTTATAACTTTAATAGTATGTTGTGATATTGGGACTTATGTTGTTAGAGACTAAAGTGACCCAGTAAATATTTAAATGATTTAGAAAGCTATAATTAGCTAATTTTCTTAAAAAGTTTTGAATAAAACCTATCATTTTCTAATTTAGAGTATGAACAAGTACGACTTTTTGAAACGACAACAGATGTTTTAGAAGAATGTGGGGAAAATGACTCATAAAGTGATTCTGAGCCATATACCGTTCGGTCCGCCTTTATGGAACGATTTTCGAAATGTTTATAACGGAACGACAACAAAAATGTTAGACAAACAAAAAGCGATTCCTAGCCAAAGCCTATTTTTATATTAGGTTGCCGATTTTCAAGATGTTTATGAGCAAAATTCTCGACTTTAGTCTGATAAATTGATATATAATTTGAAATCTGTGGTTTTTGGAAAGTTTATTGCATTAAACATACGAACGCACATCACAAAATCGACTACCTTTTCTAGGGATTCAGAACATGTTTCTGAAATAGTTTAAAAAGTCTAACTTTAATAAAAAAAATCACTATTAAAAACTTTTTATTTCCATTATATTGCTTTATTAGTACTAATAAAGTAGAGACACGTTTAATGATTGTATGTTAAAATCTAAATTTATCTGTCTGTCTAATTTGCTTGATTTCTTTTCAAGTCTTTTCTCTTCTTTTTTTCTTATACTTATTAACAAGGAAACAAAAACGTCTAAAATCAATGAAGTGCGTAATGGTTTTTGGAAAAACGTGATTTTAATTTAGAAATAGGTAAAATTTTTTTAAATTGACCTTTAATTTAAAGGTCAAATTTGATTTAAAACAATTTAAATATTTAATGCAAAAGCAACAAAAGTCAAAGGCATATTTCTTTAAAGAAATTTGGTAAAAAATATAAAGAAAAAATTTACTTTTACAATTGCAAAGCAAAAACAAAAAAATGTATAGACCAATACTACTATTTTAAGGATATCGATAAAAACAAAATGAAAACAACAATAATAATAGAGTGTAACATTTACAGTTACGCCATAGTTAAAACGATACCACCATTTTGTTTGTTTTTTTCTAGAGTTTAAGCTTTTTCAAACACTTTTCTAACGTTATCAAAGTATTAGAGAGAGTGTGAGTATTGTTTTGGGAAATTCCTTAGATTTTTTTCCTGGTGGCCAAAAAGAAAACATCAACAACATGATTATCAAAGGACTTGATATATCCTTTTTCTTGTATTTGTTTATACCGTTGTGTTGATGTTATCATTATGATGGCCGTAGTACTTGATAATGATGATGTTGTTGATGTCAAGGAAAGCTTTTTTTATAAAAAACACTCTTACTTTTTGGTGGGAGAGTATTATGGCAAGAAAAGTGAAAGTCCTTGGGGAGTCTAAATATACTGTTGCTTCTCTTGAGTGAATATAGTATTTAGGGATTTTTTTGTTGGTATCTTTAAGAAACATTTCTGTTGACCGGTTAATGTTTATTAATTGTGTATAGAGGGATTTCTGACAAAAAATGCTCATTTTATGAGTGTTTTAATAAAGAAAAACTCAAAATTTGTTATTTTTATTAAAGTAAAGAGAAAAGCTGAACTTCCCTTATGACCCCCCAAAATTAAGCTGTAGACTAGAGTTGAAAAAAGGGTGCTTTTTTGAGGCAAATGATAAATGGTTATATATTTGGGGGTTGCTTTGGGATTCAAATTCATGCTGTTGGGATTTTGACGCAATACAAAGAATCACAACAACATAAATACATACAGACATACATATGTACATATACATATATATATGTATATATAAAAAGTGATATATATGTATATAGAGTATATATATTTATTTGTGTGCATTTTTAAAGCTGACTTTGTTTTTTATTTTAGTTATTTCGTTTTTACTAAAACCATGTTCAGGCCGCAGCAGCATCAGCTCGAACTCGTTAAGTTTTGTTGTTTTAAGTTTACTAAGACAATCTAGCTAATTACGCTACTTGGGTGGTCCTCATGTCTGCCACTGTTAAACAAGCAGTCAGCAAATCAGTTGAAGTTTGCTCCAGGGATGTCCACTAATATGGTAAGCGGCAACTGCTTGAAGTGTGCCGTGAATGCTTTACACAGTCCGTCAGCCAGTTAGTCACATAACCTACTACCAAAGCCATTATATACGTGGCGGCTAAGGCAATACAAAAAATCCAAACTATCTTTCTGTCTATACGTCTGTTTGTCTGTCTTTAAAGGCATGTCTGTCAGCATAACAAATAAAACAATTTTTTAATACAATTTTAAAGATGTTTAACTATTATCGACATTTAAATTGTGTATATTTATTTAGTTTATTGGTTGTACGTACAATCTGCCTCGTAGTGAGTTTTCATTATAATTTTGTGATTTGTTATTGCATTTTATCATACAACACATAATGATTTCATTAATCAACGTGATGTTATTAGTAATGTTTGCAAAGATTTGTAATTATCCCATAACTGGAATATTAATTAAATGTTTTGTTGGATTCACTTTTGAGCGAAACAAAAAGAATCTACTTTGTACAGCTTTTGCTACACTTACACTTTACTCTGGCACTATAATTGTTGATTGGCAATTTAACGCTCGATATATTTATTTATTGTTTTTTGTTAAACAGTTGCAAATTGGAAAAATTTTATGTAAGTAGAAGCTAACGAAAGCAGCATCATCTTTATTCTGCGTTTCAATAAAATTACAATTGAATTTTTTTTTAATGATCTCGTTTAAATGTTTTTCTCTGATGATGAACGCCAAGTCATCCATTCAACATAAACCATAAACAATTCTCAGCCATACTTTTAAAGATTTGTATTATATGTATGTATTTTAAAAATTTTTATAGGC